TAGGTTCCTATAGCTATATAATATTTCTAATATGACCTCTGCTAAGATTACTACTTCTTTAATTATAACTAGTTCCATTATTATACTATTAATGCTATTTTCTAATTTAACTTGTTAAGAGTATATAAATAATAATATAGGTTTTTTAAAGTATACTGCTATTTTAACTCCTATTTAGCTATTAGCAATAAAGCTATTAGCAAAAATGTTTAAATATTAATCCTTTATTCTAAAGTAGTTTTTATATGCTTTGTTGGAATTATAATAGTTAGGTTTATAAGTAACTATTACTATGCCCTATAGTAGGGCTACTTATGCTAAGATAGTTTCTATATCTATCCCTATCTTTCCTAGCTGTATCTCTATATTGTAAAAGAGGGAGGTAAATGTCTTTGCCTTAGGCTTCTTAACTAGTTTTCTAAGCTGTACCTTTAATAGGTTAGTTTCTAGCAATATATAGAGTCCCATTTAGAATTTGCTAATCTTCAATTTCAGCTATGCGTATAGAAGGGGAAGCAAGGCTTTAGCGCTAAACGCTTTAGCTAAGGTTATATAGAAGTATTTAACTACTGCTTAGGCTCCTATTCTTTATATAGAATTAAGGATCTTAGCTATACTGTTATTAATCTTTCCCTTTAAAGACTTAGAATACTATAATGCAGCTATATAGTCTATATTTAAAGCTATTATAACTTAATATAGCTGTTTTACTGACTATAGGCTAATATATAAAAGGCGTTTAAATTAATTAGCGCTTCTCTACCCTCTTATTTTGACTTTAGCTAAGTGATCCTTAAATCTTAGCTTAGTATTAAAAATAACTTCTAGGATTCTCTTTTTTATAGACAGTTTAACAACATAGTTGCTTACCCTTAATAGAAAGTCAATATTGCTAATTTTTCTATAATTTCTTATAAAATATATAAGGATTATTTTATTACTTTCAAATATAGCGCTACTATCTTTTGCTTATTAGAAAGCCTTTAAGACAATTTTGTTATTAAGTATTAATATATTCCTTTCTATTAATTCTGAAATAGCCTATTAAGTATAGTTATTAATAAACCCTATATTACCTTATTTCTTATTAATCTTTTCCTTTATTAAAAACGCGTTAAAGAAGATATATAAAATTAGAGCAAGTGTTGATTTTTATAGAAGACCTAATTCTATAAAGGTAACTTAACTTAATTCTGTATTGTTAACTAGTATTATAGCTATTTAATTAATATAGAAGGAGTTAACCTATATAACTACTTAAATTAGGATTCCTTCTATCTATAGCTAATTAGTAAGTACTTATTAAGGGACATTATTATATGCTCCCTTTACGTTAAAGCTAATAAGGGAAAGAACTTTCTTCTATTATTATACTTTAAAGATTTTTTTAATTAAGAGAAGTAGCGCTTAATTATATAATTACCTTAGCTTAGCGCTAAATTATATTTTTAAAAGGAGATTAAAGGTCTCTGCCTAATATAATATTCTTTTTACTAATATTAGTTCTATTAGTTTGCTTAGAATAGCTAAGAGGAAGATAAGGCAATATGCTTTTACTATATAGTAATTAGGTTTCCCTAGCTTTTATAATAGTAGGATTTACGTTATCTTTTATATAAATAGCACGTATCTTAATTAATATAATGCATTAAAGATATTAGTAACTTGATTATTTAATATAGACTATAAGCGTTTTTATACAATATTTAGAATATTATTTATGCTTAGCGCTTTATATAGGCTAATCTTAGCTATTACTCTGGTTACCTTTTTAACTAAGACATCTAAGTTATTTATATGCTTTATATTAGGGTTTGGCGTATTCTCTTTCTAGACTTCTAAAACTGGTAGAAAAAAACATTAAAGTAGTTTAGTTGCTTTAGTATTATTGCCTTTAAGCTCCTTTTCCTAGCTTTTAATATTAGTAACTATAATAGGGATGTTATTAAACGCTAATAGTTATAAGTTAAGGTATCTAGCTGCTTTTTAAATATTGTTTATCTATATTAGGAAGTTGTTTTAATATTGTTGCTTTTTGTTATAGATACTTTTATAAAACTAGTGTTTAGCATATTTAGCTTAGCGCTAGCTTTCTTCCCAATCTAGTCCTATTGCTCTTAGCGTATTGTTCTAGTTCTGTTATTATATATATTTGTTGTAGAGCTTTATAAGCTTATTATCCTATTATGCTTTTATATATAGGGATTCCTTTATTACTAAGCTATAGTTCTATATATATTAGCTTACTATGTTCTGGATCTCTATAACTGCTTAATTGAGTTTAGTTGTATTATTAATATTAGTTATTAACAGTTGCTATCTCTTAAATGCTTTAATAGCTTTATCCTAATCCGTTTTCTTAAAATTATATTTAGTTTCTAATAGGGCAGCTGTTATAGTTCTCTTAATTCAAAGTATTATAGCTTTATAATCTAATCTATATTAGGTTAGATAAATGTTACATTTAGTAATTTAGTTTTTAAGCGCGTTAAATACTAGTATAAAATTAATAGTTGTTTTAAAGCATCTTTAAAAAAACGTAATAATGCTGCTTAGTAAAGCTAAGAAAGTGTTATACTAATGTATTTACTAGAGCATTAGCTCACTTTCTTCTTTATATTATAATTGTAGCACATTGATTCCTCTCTATATTAGGTTATAGCAATTGAAGTTGCTCTTTATTATAATAGGGAGGTTTCCTCTGTATTTCCTTTTAGCTTTATAGATAGTGTTACTTAACGCTATAAGTCTAGAAGTACTTGACTCCCCTAAGTCCTGCTTAGAGGGGGCGTGTTAGCTATAGCCTAGAATATAGATTAACATAACAAAAAGGTATTTTATTAAAGTAGTAATAACCCTTATAATTATATTTAGCAATTGTATAGGGAATTAGATAAATAAAACATCTTTATAGATATATAATAGTAACTAAAACGTATAGTGCATTAGTCCCTTCTATTAAATAGATAGCGTTATAGTATTCTAGCATTAATATTAGGAGATGTATAGCTTGCTATCAATATTAGCAATACTTAGTTTAGTAATTATGATTACTATAAAGTAGCTAATGGATTAGTTGTTAAAGAGGCTAAGTTAAACTAGGGATTGTCTGTTTACGTTTACTAATAGGAAACTGGTGTCTCCTATTATATATTGCTTATAATAACTTCCTATCTAGTTTGTTAGCTAGTAATAGTTTACTATTCTGTATCTTTATTATAAGTGGCTTAGCTAATATGTTATCTACTTCTGCGGATTCTATTCACTTTATTATAGTATATAGAGCATTCTGCATTTATTGCTATATATAGTTCTCTATATACTGCATATTTAAAAGCTATAGCTTTACAATTATTAGTTTTATAGTTCTCTATATATGTTTCTATTAATCTTGACCTGTTATTTGGCAAGGGCTTATTAGGCATCTTTAGCTATAGCTAGGTAGACTACTATTAATCTAGCCAGTTTTTCCCTTTTAGATAGCTAGAATGCCTTAATAGCATTTATAAACTCATTTTTAGCTATAAATGTTTCTAAAAACTCTAAATAGATTGTTCTAATATCTAGTATTAGAACTGCTATTCTAGATGCATTGTCAACTTTAATTAGGAAACAATCCTTTTTATAAGTTTAGGCTATATTAAATACTTAATAAATTTATCTATTATTTAGCTATAATTATATTACGTTTTTTCTATTTTAAATAATAACTCTTATAAATCTCGCTCTTATCTGAATTCCTTTAATAATAATTACGTATACTAATAGCTAGAATGTAATTGCTTCTTTAATTTTTTTTATTATAGCTTTATTATTTATAGCCAGCTTACGTTATTTAGTTAGCATCTAGCTAATATTAATTATAACTTCTAGAAGTTGTTATAGCTTCTTTAAAGAAAATAGCAGAGTTAATAGCGTTCCCTTTCTTATAGGAGGTTAAGTGGCTGACAATAACAGATTAATTAATCTTAATGCTATTAAAGCATATAAGATTAATAGTAATACTACTATATTAGGGTTAGCTAAGGATAATAGGCTTAACTATTTAAAGGTTAAAAGGACTGTTCTTCTTTTATTAACGCTAGAGCTAATAGTCCTAATTTTTATATTAAAGACTTTAATATCAGCTTTTAAATTTATTAATTTAGCGCTTATTATTTTAAACTCCTTTTTAAGCTTCTTAATTCCTTTTTTAAGCTTTTTAATTTTTATAAACATATATTCGAATCTTATTTTTATAATATTAAGCTTTGCTTTAGCTATATTAAGCTTTTTTATAATAATATTAAGTAATACTATTAGTATAGTATTTTTCTAATAGAAAGCCTTATTTTAAGTCTTAAGAATCTCTATCTAGTTTTAGAAAGTCTCATTCTGACTTTAGAGAGTTCTATTCTAAATTTAGAGAGTCTTATTCTGAATTTTAAATTGCTTAAGCACTTTATTAAATTTATTATTTTACGTATTTATTACTCCTTTAATAAAGCGTTTTATTATATTTTTAATAAAATTAATATTATTATTTAAATTAAGAGAGTGGATAAGCTGAATCAGCTCTCCGCCTCTTTGTTTAATATTCCTAGCTCTTCTTTAGGCTGCTGTAGCAGTAATAAGTCCCTTTAGGGACAATGCTAGTATGATTATAGTAACAGTGTTGCTAGGATAGTTGGGCGGCACCCTTTCCCTTAACTAAAATCGACAGGAGTTGGATAATCCGACTTGTCGAGTCGGCTTGTAGATGAAACTGTCAATAAAATGATGAATATCGATAAAAAATATCGATGTCCGCCCACAGCCGCTCATAAGTAACCATTTCGCTTCCACTTTCCGATACATTCACATCTCGCGTACATAAACCTTACAGTCTGTTCAGCTCTCATCAATTGGTCAGATGGCCGAGCGGTCTAAGGCGCTAGCTTAAGGTCTCACTCTTCGGAGTGCATCATTCGCTAGTCAGAAATGGCGTGGGTTCGAATCCCACTCTGATCACCATCTCTACAGCACCATTGGGTTAGTGGTAAACTACGGCCTTGCCATCTTTCGCATCACGCAAGCTGGCCGTGCCCCGTGTTCGATTCACGGATGGTGCATATCCTTTTCGTTTTGTTCCTGACTCGTACTCGCGAGACGAGATAAGACTTGTTTCTTTCCTGCAGTTCTCACTGAACCTCCTTTTGTGGTAGGCCGAGCAGCAGAGATCTTGGAATCCGGCTGGCTTGAATGGCTAGCATTTGTAGACTGCTGCAAACACAAGCCACGCCTAACATCCAGCTCAGACCAAGTCCAGGACTAAGAGTGATACCCCAAGACCAGGCACTCCATTAGCCAGCAAACTCGAGTTATCAACGCTCCATTCAATATTTCCCCACAGCGTCTGAGATACCGCTGACACCTTCGTATCCGCAGGCATATGCACATTCACATTCGCCTTCAGATCACCATAATTGAGATTGATGATACTCAAAAGCATCTTATCCTTTCCAACCCAAGCAGCAACATCAACTCTACTCGCGCCACCAACCCCCAGTGTCCGCACGAGGTTCGCACCAAGCAAAAAGCTCCTGACCATCTCGCTAGTGAGGACAGTAGCGAGTTCACCAGTGACATTTGCAATCTCACCCGTAGTCGGGAAATCCCACATGACAATCCCTTTGGCCGCGTGATTGATACTCAACATATTCATTACGACTACCTCGGCCGCAGTGGGGAATCGGGTCCAGAAGGTCTCAGCACCAAAGGCTTGGGGGACGCCCCAATGGGTCTTAGGCCACCCAATTATGTCGTCGTAGTGGGCGAAGTTGTCAAGACGCTCGGATATGTCTTCGAAGACTCCATTGCAGTCATCACAGCCACAACAGCCGTAGGTGCTATTGCATACGGTACCATACGTGGACGACCAGGAGGTGTTTGTGCTGATGGGGTAGGGGTCTGACATGATTATATCCGCGCCCGCCGCGTAGTCTTGGTAGTAAAAGTCGTAGCAATTTAGCACTAGCGAGACGGGATGATAGGGGTCTAGAGAGCGAATCGTGTTGTAGGCTATGGCTGTTGCGTTAAGTGGGTTGCCTTTGCCGTCGGGCTCGTCTCCTGTGTACCAGAGTAGCATCGAGGGGTGTGAGCGCATACGGGTCACTTGGTCAATCATTTCGGTAAGATTGGTGTAGTCCCATCGCGGGTCGTATTGGAAGTAGAGACCTAGTTCGTCTGCTCGATTGAGGTAGGATTCGAATTCATCCCATGGGAAGGGTGTATCTGATAGATCACCCGTGGGAACAATATGGATTACGTTGTAGCCCATTGAAGCAAATTCGTCGAGGGTAGACAGGTTGGCATACCAGTATAAGGACCATTGTACTGTCACAGGTCAGCCTTGAATATGTATCGTCAATACATGTATATCCCTCGCGTCTAAGGTCAGTCGCAGCTGATTGATCATCTTACCGTAATAAGTATACGGAAATATGAGCGACCACTCGGTTTCATTTCCTTTCAGAACGGAAAGCCCTCCATAAAGATTGTCAATCCGTGCAACGCTTCCGCCATCTGTTCTACGAGGCAGGTAGAGCAGTTCAGTAGTCGCCGTGTACAACGATGACTCGCTATATGGCAGCGATCCCTGGATCGTCACGGTGTACCCTATGGAGCTCGCAGACAGCTGCCTGAGGTTGAAGTAGATCTCACTTGTCTTTCCAATTTCCATGGATGTTGTATTGATAGAAAGCTCGGTGGTATTGTTAACCACGATGCTGATCTCAAGCTCAGTCTTATTGCCATAGGACGAATTATGAGGCTGAATATAGGATTGTCCAACAAGGTATGAAATGGAAATGTCGACAAGAAAGCTACCGAAAGTCTCGCCCTCCAGGTATAGATTCATGCGAGGCTTGATTCTGAAGTTCAAAAGTGGTACAGATGACCTTGCAGGTTCCTCGAACCATCCACCTGGACTAAAAGATTCATTCCTGGGGCATACTCAGTGGTGAAGTTATCGTATATAAGACATCACTCACGCGGGTCTATAGGCTTTGCCGCACCAGATCTCAACACCTGCTGGATTGTTAAAGGCAGACGTCCAAGGTAACGCCGAAAGAACTGCAAAACTACTCGCAATAAAGGCGGCTAACATTGTTAACAGAAACTGGAGAGAACGAGCAAAAAGAAACATAAAGAGACGAAGTATTCATTAGACATCACTGATATCGTGAGGCTCATGTCGACTTTCAGTGTGCCTTCGATAGGCTGGTATGTTGAACGCGAATGCTATGAATCCAATGCAACCGTATGGTAACATCGCTTTTTCATGATCGCCACATTGCGTAAGAAGTACACGACGATGCTGTGTTGACAAGGACCGGCAGTGCAGGAGCAGTAAGCAGTAAGATAAGGCTTTGCTTCCAATATCAAAGACGCGTGATAAGACATGCTTCAGAGTGGGGTACTGCAGCGATGCCTGCAACCTCGGCGAATCGACCCATGATTGGATATCAACGTCGAGGCCTGATACATAGCAGAGGCAATGGGGGTTTGAGGCCTCCTTGATATGCTATAATACGTGCAATCTTGAATACGATGCAGGACTATTGATCAGTAGCTCGCATAAAAGATATGAGCACCTTCCGGCCTCGGGCTGGGCTTGGCGTTTCTTCTTTCGCCCACTTTCAGACTGCATACCTTAAGCCGAACGAACGTTGTGGGGCTGAAATACGGTCATATTCACTCAGCGGAGGACTGTACATGTTTTGGCTGAATGGTTACTGCCCGACAACGTGTATACAAAAGTCTGGCCTATCGCCCAGAACATGGGCACGGCTTCGGCGAGACATGGCCCGATGCGTCGCCTAGCCTGGCACTCCTGGTCAAGCAAATTGCCTTCCTATCTGAACCGAAGATCGCAGATGCGATTCTCATAAAGCCGATCAGGCGATTGTCGTCGTGTATCTCCACCCCTCTAGAGCGGTACAATGTAACAGTCTTGGGCGATCCGGCACATCGTCAATACTACCGTGTCTCTTCAGTAATCTCTTTAGTAATGAAACCTGACGAGGCGACAAAGACTGTTATCATGAACCCGGGATTGAAGACGTGCCATTACCTGGTCAATACATAACCCGAAGACACCTTTTTAAGCTCTTAGTTTGATGTATTGATGTACATCTTAGTGCATCCAAAGTTCAATTGATATGCAGATTACTAAAAAAATAGTGACAGTTATATGGCTCAATAATATTCTAGGATCATGTAGTGCTGTTAGATCCCGCTCGGTGATTGCAAAGGTCGTTCAACAATCAGAATATATCTTCCTTCTAGTGCTAATCCATAACCTCAGTCCGCAGCCATCTCATTAAATGACTTTTACAATAATAAGGCCTTCGGATCCTACCCTGGCGAGGCTGCTTTTGATCCATTGAACCAGTCCTATCCCATCCCGAAAGTTGCAATCAATGGAAGGTACACTTCGACACAGACTGGAATAGTCTATGATTTCCCTGGATACCGAAGTGACTTCAAGCCTGACAACATTCTTTGTGAAGGCCAAACCATCCCTGTACCAATCAAGGAATATTTTTCTGTTTCTATGCTCGTTGCCTCCGACGTGAGGCTTGAGACTGTATCCGGTAACATCACCTACGTCTATGCAGACAACACGACATCTGTTTCTGAGCTTCGCAGCCTTCCATGGTGGTCTTTTTTGACTATAAATAGAGGAGAAATCATCTTCCCTTATAGGTATACCGCAAATGATACCAACTACAATACGTCTCACATTTTCGAATACACTGGCTCGCTCGATGCGGGCAAGACTCTCAGCTCTATTGTTCTCCCTTCAACTACAAACACGACCACTGGTAGACTACATGTCTTTGCTGTCTCGCTCTGGACAGGATCGTCAGTTGAAGTCCAATCTGTCCGTCCCACGCAAAAGTGGATAGACAATGGTACCCAGATCGTTGAGGTTACCATCAACAATTCTGGCTCAGAATGCATCTCTGGACACGGCCTCAGCATCTTCATTGCTGCCCCAGGCGTTCATACGGTCGAAAGAGGGCACATAAAGCGTTTGTGCCCCGGAGATCAAACACGAGTCAATGTTGGCGTAATTGGTCACTTCAACAGCACAGTGACTGTCTTACTCGATGACGACCAAATGACCCAAGAGCAGCGGTTTATTGGTACTCGTATCGGCCTGACGCAATACACGTCAGACTTGGAGAGCTTATCTATGCATGAGAGCCCGGACTGGTTTAACGATGCCAAATTCGGTATTTTCATTCATTGGGGACCCTTCTCCGTGACCGGCTGGGGTAATTCATCACCTTATGAGAGCTATGCTGAGTGGTTTTGGTAAGTTGATTGAAATTGAACTTAACGTAGGCAATCTTCTGACGGTACAGGTGGTATACTACACACCATCCACAGGCAGACCGCTCTGACTTTTATGACTACCGATTGAGGACATATGGACCTGACTGGGTTTATGATGATACTTTCCCCGACTATACCGCCGCGAATTTTGACTCCAAAGCTTGGGTAGATCTCTTCAACGACGCAGGTGCAAAGTACTTTGTTCTTACCACCAAGCACCATGACGGGTTCGCCAACTTCGACACGGGCAATACAACAAACCGCAACGCTTTGAAGTACGGACCAAAGCGCGATCTTCTCAAAGAACTTTTCGACGCTGCTGCAACCTATCAGCCGCACCTTCGTAGAGGTGCCTACTTCTCGTTACCAGAATGGTTCAACCCCGATTTTCAACCCTACGGTTTTGCAGAGACAGCAGCCAATTCCTCCACCTCCTGGCCCGGTATCATAGCAAAGAATCCCTACACCGGGGCCGAAGAGCCCTACACAGGACGCTTACCCATCAAAGACTTCATCACAGACCTCATGGTACCACAGATGGAGATATTAGCATACAACTACTCAACCGACATCCTATGGTGTGACTGCGGCGCGGCAAACGGAACCGCACCCTTCGCCGCCACCTGGTGGAACCACGCTCGCACCCAAAACCGCCAAGTCACCATCAACTCCCGCTGCGGCATCGCCGAAGCCGCCGACTTCGACACCCCAGAATACGCCACCTTCT